CTATGGAGACAACAGGGTGAGCATGCACATCATACCAAATTTTGTCTGTCTTCCTTAAACAGTAAGGACAGATTTGGCCTTTCCATCAAGGAGTGCTCCAGGAATTAGAAGATAGGGCTGGATTCAGCTCACAACAAGAGATACTGATCCCCCTCCTGACTGTGCAGCATAGCAACGTTTTGAAACTGGATCCTTTGCAAGGTTCGGCCCTATCATCCTTAACTAGAACTTCTTTTGCCCAGAGATGATGAATACGGCAGCATGTGGAAATAGCAGACTTTTGTCAACCATTTCATATTTTATTGACCTAGTTGCATTCACAGTGTTGATACCACTCATAGTGTCCTGGGATGAAATAAGCTGAATGTTACACATACACAAGGACATACCGGGTGTTCTGGCCTAGGTTTCCCAAGAGGATGAAGCAAACTCCTTGTCCCGGCAAAAACCCCTTTTATTAATTTACTGTGAATTCTGCTCATTCACACCCCGCAAAGTCTTTAAAAGAGGATTTACAGTCACAGACCTTATTTGGCTTGGAGAGCTGACAGGCCGATATCTGCAAAACTTGGCAAGGAGTCTCGGAGAGTCAGGAACCAATTAAGAGAACTAATTGTCTCCTGCAAACTCCACTTCCCTTTCGCTTGTCTTTTATTTCCTATGGGAGGGGACATTCATGGCCTTACTCCCAGTCGACCCCTGTTCTTTAGTTATTTCCGTCATCTGGCAACCCTGTGCATGCACACACTGGGAACGGGCTCCAGCTGTTTGTCTGCCTCACTATCTGACTCTGAAGGCAGTTGATAACTGGCATACGGCTCTTAGACATAAAGCCCTCATCAGAGCCTTCCCCAATGAAGTGAACTAATTGTCTCTGGCAAACTCCCCTCTTCTTTCGCTCCTCTTTATTTTGTATGGGAGAGGCCATTCACCGTTCACATGTGCCTTTACTCCTGAGTCGGCCTTTGTTCTTTAGCTGTTCCCTTCTCCTGGCAGCTCTGTGCATGCCGACACTGGGAACAGGCTCCAGTTGTTCTTCTGCCCCACTGATGTCCAACTTCGAAGGTAGCTGATAACTGTCGGAAGGCCCTGCTCCCATCTATGCCTCCGACACAAAGCACTTGTCAAGAGCCTTCCCCAGACTCGGGGACTGGCCCATGTTCCTCCCCAACCTCTTCACTGTCTGAATATGCTGCCAACTCTGCTGGTGGGCCACAACATCAGGTGGAAACCAGATGGTGTAGATAACTTTCTAATTAACTGCATTAATGGCTAGGGGCCAAAGTTAAGTTGCCTTTCAGGTCTTTCCTCTACATTCAAACAACTGCTTTTCTTTTCAGCAACTGTGCCCCAAATCAATTTGCTCATCAAGATGTCGGCCATTTAAGGCATTATTTTATGACAGTACTGCTTAAGGCTATTTTACTGGTTTTCCTAACTCAGTCTTACAATTAAGAGCCTATAAATGACATGCGGAATGGAACAGCAACATTTCAGCACTTGGCGAAATGGTGTTCTTCAATCTCTATCAGTCCATCTCATTAATTTAGCGTGGTTGCAGACAGGGCTTTGGATGTGAAAGCAGAAGCATGCTGGGGTACAACTGTGGCACTCATTTGCAGCTTCTTAAAGCAGCCACTCATTTTCCTAGAATCACATAGCTGTTGTTTAATTCCAGAAAAAGGAATGAACTGTTGACTGCGGCTACCACTATATTTACATATCCCCATGCTGGTCAAAACATCATAGTCCTAACAGACAGCACTATAATTCATAGGGAAATTGTAGGGAAACATGAATGTACAACATTCACCTCAGCAGAGTTCAGGATAGGCAGAAATAAGGCAGATGCAGGTTTACTTCATTTTTTTCCCTAGAAAACATTAGATTTCCCAGGAACAAGATTAAAAAGCAGCCTGAATGTTACTTTAATCTTATTCCGTATCTTAAAAGATGAAAATTGTTTTCCCTGTTGAAAGTTTTAAATTTAAGAAAACTTTAACTGCTGTTAAACATCAACTAGATTGATATAATTTTTTTCATTTTTTTTCTTCATCATATTTTTTAACTGCCCAGAGCTGTACATGAAAGGATTTATTTTAATAAAACTAAGAGGGGAAAAAAGATAAATCAAGAAATTGTAACTTCTGTTTCATGTTTGACAAGACTATCTGATTCTCTTTGCTTAGTAATGTACCAGTATATGTTCATTTGGAGTAAATATTAAAGACTGTGTGTATGTGTGTGTGTTATATGACTTTCATAACAAATGCAACCTAAGTATAACCATTTTTATACTTCTTGTCATCCATAGTTGCATTAGAACATGTAAATTAAATGGATTAATATATGAGTTGTTAGTTGATTTATATGAGTGTTATGGCTATTGCTATAGAATAGAATAGTTGGAAGGGACTTTGGAGGTCTTCTAGTCCAACTACCTGCCTAGGCAGGAAACCTATACCACTTCAGACAAATGGTTATCCAACATCTTCTTAAAGACTTCCAGTGTTGGGGCATTCACAACTTTTGGAGGCAAGTTATTCCACTGATTAATTGTTCTAGCTGTCAGAAAATTTCTCCTCAGTTCTAAGTTGCTNTTTAAGACTTGTGGACTTCAACTCCCAGAATTCCTACTCTCGCTCTTCATCTTGATGATGTGCGGACGGGCGGAGGGAGGGAGCTGGACAGGTTCTAAATGGCACTGTAGATTTGTGGAACCTCTTCTATAGAAGAGGTTAGAACTGGCAGGAACCCACCCCTGCTACAAGATGTATGTATGTATAGGCAAAACCAGGCAAGCAATCAATCTTCAATTACAACACAGAAGCACACATGGAGAGAGAAAATGCCCTCACAAGGCTCTCTTTATATAGTCTGCCTCTTAAAGTGTTAACCGTGCTGACTCATTCTCATTGCATCATCTTGGTTTACAGCAGCTGACCAGCTATTAAATCATCATTATCTTAACATAAACACATTTTTATGACTGTAAGCTGCCCAGAGTTACCGTTTGGTAAATTGAGCAGTCAATAAATTTTATAAGCAAATATAAATAAAATAAACTATTTGTCAACTCCCAGTGTTGCCATAGCAAGAGAAGGAGCGGGAAACCTTACACTATTACCATGAGGGAAGATTTTCACATTTCTGCAGAACCAAAGCAAGGCAATAGTCCCTGCCCCTACCCCTTAGAGAAGTCTTAGATTTATCAACACTGCCTGAATTTCTAGGAAGCAAATGAGAGGGTTAACTGAGAATGTTTGAAAACTCTTTCCTCTTCAACGGCCTGCTTGATTTCGGTAATTGCTGATGGAAAAAAACAACAACTCCTTCCTGTGCAAATCTGTGGGAGCCAAGAGACTGGCAAAATGACAAGTTGCCTCATGTCTCTTTTCCAATCGATTTGATAGAAATTTATTTTTTTTCTTAATGCAGAAGGGATTAGAAACCTGTGTTCCAGGCAGGCTGTGAAGCATGAAACTTCCCCTTCCCATCAGTAAAAAAAAAAAAAAAAAAGTAAGACACACCCTTTGTGGTAAACGTTTTAACAGCCAATTACGCACATGGCCTATTTTGCAAATGTAAAAGAGGAAGATAATAAAAACTAGCAAAAGAATATAAATGTAAAAATGAATGAAAGAAGAAAAGGAAAGAAAGTTGTCACTAATGTCCATCCTATGAAGCACTTATTTCTCACGTGAAGAACTTTGGACACAACTGCAAGTAGTCCTTGACTTATGACCATAATGGAGCCTGCCAAATACAGTGGTAAGTCATGATGGGTCATCAAGTGAACAACCTGTTTTTATGACCTTTTTGGCAGCAGTTGTTAAGTGAATCCATGCTTTACTATCAGGAGTTTTTGCCAAAAACTGGAAAAAAAGAAAAGCTTTTGGCAATAATATTGTAAATTGTGGTCTTATGACAGTGGGATGCTGCAAACAGCTATAAATGCAGGCCTGTTGCCGAGCATCCCAAATGTGGTCATGTGACCAAGAGTGACAACCATCGAACCATCCAACTATGAAACTGGGGCATAAGTACCTTTTAAAGGGTCCACGGGTAACTTCATATAGTCACTAAGCAATCAGTAGTACGTCGAGGTGTATCTGTAATTATCTTGTAATTAGTCACTTGCCTGTTTGTTTATTTATTTTTAATATTTATTTTTATTGAACATTTTTCTTTAAATGTCTCTATGACATATTTAACAGATCTGCGGCATTATTTGTACAATTTATAAATATATTGTATTATATAGAATCAATATTTGTATGTATCCATTATATTCTATTTCCAAATGTTCTAACCCTATGTACATTTCCATTTCTTATTTCTATTGTCTATCCATTCATATTGTTTCTCCCATACCGCATAGTATTCCGAGTCACTTGTCTGTTTAGTCAACACAAAGACTTTAACTCAGTTTTTCTCAACCTCAACTGTTTGAAAATTTATGGACTTCAACTTCCAGAATTCCCTGCAGGCTGGTTAGTCCACATATCTTTAAGCTGCCAAGTTTGAGAAAAAACTACCGTAACTGATTATATTGTAGCTAGGACACACAAACACACACAGAGGGAAAGGGTAAATTAAGAAAATCTTTCTATTATGTTACTAATCTTCAAAAGAATCCAGAAAAGTTTTAGNACTCCCTCTTCTTTGTGGCAACCCCTGAGATATTGGAACACTGCTATCATGTCTCCCCTGGTCCTTCTTTTTATTAAACTAGACACAACCAGTTCCTGCAACCGTTCTTCATATGTTTTAGCCTTCAGTCCCCTAATCATCTTTGTTGCTCTTCTCTGCAGGCTCTAAACCGAGTGAAGAATAGAATTGCAGACTAGCTTAGTTGCACCAAGATTAATTGATTTCTGCTGAATCCAAACCTTGCTAAGCTAAAAAGAGATAGGTAATTTATTTGCTTTGAGCTCCTGTTAAATGACTGAGTCCACACAGCATTCTAAGCTTTATTTAACCATAGTTATTTAACAAACTACAAGGGTTAGAGTTAACACAATATGTTAGTCTAAAACCAAATACATTCCACAAATGGCTTTGTGCAATACGTGCTTTATGTCAAAGGCATGGTGGCCAATGTAAAAGGCAGCTCGGTTCAACTGCATAGAATAGGAACTTTGAGCATTCTTATCATTCAATAAACTCTTCCAATGGACAGAGAGAGAGGGAGGGAGAGAGGGAGAAGGAGAGGGAGAGAGAGGGGGGGAGAAGGAGAGAGAGAAATATTTTGTTCAGGGTCAATAAATCCAGATCAAACTAATAAAATCCTGTATCACACAGATTTCTAACTAATAAAATAAGACACTCAAGATATATTCTAAGACTTGAGCTGGATTTCAGCCTACCCCCAGGAAGTTCCTATTTGCTGTTCTTAAAGTGGGAGGGAATGAATTACTCATCTTTCTGGATGATCTGAACATTGAATGATGCAGTATATTGCAGAGAGAGGCAATTCAGTACTTCTTCTTACATAATTGAGACAATGACTAACTTAGGCTGAATATTGGGCATCATGAGGTAATTTGTTCATTTTTTAAAAGAACCCTCCCTCCCATTGAAAAACTATACACAGGAATGGCATTTTAAAGCCAGCTATTGGCATTTCATAAATTCAGAAGTGCAAACTTCATTCTCCTTATTTGACACAGTAGATGGCGTGTTTTTGAGAAAACCGATTTCAGATTATCTTGAGCATAAAAAACAAGGTTAACAGCAATGCTGGTAATTAATGTAACTGCAGATGAAAGATAATCCAAACTATATTAATACAACCATTCTCTCTCAGACAAAACAGAGGAGTCTCTCAGTCAACAATAAATACAACATCTAAGCCTGTATTTTCAAGAGAATCAAGAATGGATCCTTTGAAAAGGCACCTCAGGGACAACTTATAGCGGCCCGTCTATAAACCTTGCACCCTTCCTTTCAAAATGCTCCTTGTAGAAAGAATCAGAACTACAGACTTTTCTTTCATAAAGTACATTCGTTGACACAAAATGTACCACCCTAAATGACCTGATCCTGATCCATCGGAGTTCATGTTCCATCAATTCCTTCATTTCTGTCTGAAGGAAGGGCTACAAAAGAATGGGATTTTGACTAAGAGATTTCTCCCTTGACTAAATGATCCCATTATACAATAATGTATGGTAGAACCAAACTTAACCAAACCATACTTCACTGAATGTAGAACCAAACTTCATTGCATTCAATGACTCTCTTTTAATATTTGGAGAATCTGATTGTTTTTACATAGCAAAACAATTGCATATTTCAATAAAGCTCAACAGATATCTCTGGAAAATTGATGTAATTCTCCAAAGTGACCATTTAAGTTGGAAATGCATTGAATATCTTCTAAAATGGATAAAAGAATGATTTTTTTAATGAACACTCCAATGTGCAACTTTTTTGTTGCTGCACTCACACATACAATTTAACAAACATCTCAGCCCCTTCCCATTGATAAAGGCTCTTTTCTTCAAATTGCCAGAATGCTATGAAAAAGAAGTATGTTTCAAGTACTGATATAGCTATTTCAACATGCAAAACAAACAAGAAAACCAATGTACAACTTTTATTGAGTTCTAAACATGTTCCAGTGAAACATTTTGTAAACACTATTTGTACATGGTATGTACTTAAAAACCCATATATGTGTGGGTATGAAAGGGGATCACATTAAAACAGAATGGGATTGTAGTTAAGTTATCCTATTGCAGGCTCCTCCAACTTTAGAGCTTCCTGGGATGGAACACAAATTGCTTTGGAACCATTGCAGTACATTCCTAGGTACCAGGAATACCAAAATACATAATATCTGGCATGCCATGTACAAGAAGATTGTCCACCTCTTGTAAAGCTGCCTCTCAAGATATCATTAGTTATCCAGAAAGGACCAAAGCTGAATTTAGAGAAAGGCTTTTTTATAACTGACTGTCCATTCCAGCCAAAGTGATTGGGATTTACCCCACAGTTTCTGCTATTGAGGTTTTTCATTATATACAAACACATAGCAGGTCTTCACTAATTTAATACTTATTTATATTTGGTGATTTTAAGGCTCTTTAATTTTTGCATTATTCTCTTAGTGGCTTTCTTTTTATATTCATTACGTCAAAGAAGCAATTGTATGCCATGGATTTTGGGTCAGAGACCACAAGGCAATAAAATGAGGCTTACACAGTCAATACATACTACAACTGTGTTGTATAAGCAAGGACTAATAGGGCATGAATAAGGCATGAACAGAAATACAAAACTGTTCAGATGTTCCCATTCATTCCACAGGAACTAACAAGAAACCATGGTAAATAGCACCAAATACCTGCAAGTGCAATCAAATGTTTTTTTAATATCAGTTTTATCTATTACTTAAATTCCGTCCTGAGAATTAAGTGCATTATAGCCAGTTCCAAACATCCCATAATGGTTCTAGGAATGTCCTTGGTACTATAACCAGAAATGCATATTTTTTTAATTAATATAAAAAGGGAAATTAAAATCATTTTCCTTTATTCAGCACAGGAAAATGAGGGGGACGGGGATTAAACATCGATACCTGTTAATAGCGGCAAGGTCTTCTATCAACGGCATGGTACTTTTGTATTGAGAAGGCAAGAGTGTTGTTGTGAATTCCTCTTGAATTTCTCCACAGAAGGAGATTTGGCTCAAGATTCCGAACGGCAAAAGGGCACCACCCAGAAAGCGTAAGGCAAAAAGATTAATTAAAAAATGAGTCAATTTATAGCTTATTTCATAATTCTGATTTTTCTCCTCCAATGCAGTTATTTTCCTTGCCCTCGGTTTCCTTTAGGAAAATACTTTTCGGTCATCAAAGACCTGGCGCAATCCAGTGAAGAAATTTCATGGCAACTTCAAAGCCAAGGAAGCATGCCTGAAAAAAATATATGCATAAATTCACATTGTTCGCATTACTATATATATATATTCCTATAGAAGAGTTTTCATTAATAATGTGCTGTTTCACAGCATGAATTGCTCTACATAATTAATAGATACAAGACCTACAAAAACAGGGCTGTTTCAACATTAACCTTTGAAATGTCTCCAATAAATATACTGTATGAACATATATAATAGCTAGGCATTCAGTCAAGTGGAACATTACTCAAAGGAGACCTGCTAGAGACAAAGGAAGGAAAACAAAATATCTGTTTCTCCAAAAGCTGCTTTGGAAGACTGGGGAATCATCTGGAATAGTATGCACGGTGATGCTGAATTATATGTAGAAAAATTAACAATAGCCAGCTTGTCTGCAAGAAGTTTCCACTGGATCTTATGTCTTTTCAGCAGCCACTTTGCTTAATGACCGGGCTGCGGGTCCAAATTGTGGTCACTAAATGAGGACTACCTGTATTAAGCATGTGGTTGATTTACTACTGTTTTCTATTTGTTTTATTGTTTTAGTCCAAGTAGTCCTTGACTTATGACCACAATTGAGCCAAAAATTTCTGTTGTGAAGTAAGACATTTGTTAAGTGAATGTTGCCCCATTGTACGACCTTTCTTGCCTCAGTTGTTAAGTGAATCACTGCAGTTGATAAGTTAGCAACCCGGTTGTTATCTGAAACTGGCTTCCCCTTGGACTTTGCTTGTCAGAAGGATGTAAAAGGGGATCTCAAAAACCTGGGACACAGCAACTGTCATAAATATGAACCAGTTACCAAGCATCTGGTTTTTTAACACATGAGGGTGCTGGAAAGGTTGTAACTGTGAAAAACAGTCATACATTTTTCAGTATCATTGCTAACTTTGAACGGTCACTAAATGGACTGTTGTAAGTCAAGGACTACCTGTGTTGCTGTACAACAGCTACAGTTGCTTGGATGACTGAAATGGCTTCTAAATTCAACTAATAGAACTGAATAAACCTATAAATCAATACAGAAGTCTAACTAAAGGTACTATACTTTTGGCTCAGTGGCTAAGACACTGAGTTCGTTGATCAGAAGGCCAGCAGTTCAGCGGTTTGAATCCCTTGTGCCACATAACGGAGTGAGCTCCTGTTACTTGTCCCAGTTTCTGCCAACCTAGCAGTTCGAAAGCATGTAAAAAATGCAAGTAGAAAAATAGGGAATATTAAATAATAGAAAATAGACCACCTTTGGTTGGAAGGTAACAGCGTTCCGTGCGCCTTCAGCATTTAGCCATGGCTCTTCGGCTTTGAAATGGAGATGAGCACCACCCCTAGAGCAAGAAACAACTAGCATGCATGTGCGGGGGAACCCTTACCTTTATAAAAAAATTAAGTGTTTTGCAATGGATCTGGAGGGAGGCTTTGCTCCTTAATTTCTGCCTTAATTCTTAAGAGGAGAAGAGCCATCTCTGCCATTGCTCCTGCCTTTTGGTACAGATTACCTCTGGAATGAGGTCAGCTCCAACCTGTTCTAACCTAGGTTTCCCAAAAGCACGAAGCTGACTCCTTGTCCCGATAAAGCTCCTTTTATTTAGTTTTAAAGAGAATTCCTCTTCAGCAAAGTCATGCAGTTGCTGCAATGGTCATAAGTGTGAAAAAAGGTCATAAGTCACTATTTTCTAGTGCCGTTGCAACTTTGAATGATAACTAAACAAACTGTTGTAGGTCAAGGACTTACCAGTATTGTAAACCGCCCAGAGTTACCTTGGGGTAAGATGGGCAGTCAATAAATTTATTGACATTTATTAATAAATAAATAAATAAATGAACCAAAAGTCAAAAGTAGCATTCACTTACTGCATTGGCAGGAAAGGCTCTGATCATCACAGCGTTGAATCCCTTGTACAGAGACAACACTCCTTCCTCTCGAACAAGCTCTCGCAGGACGTCTCTGAAACCATTGGGATACTTCCCTGGAGGAGCTGTAGAAAAACGCAAAGTACATTTAATGAAAGTGAAGAGAAACTCTTGACGCGGGTGAAGAAGGAGAGTGCAAAAGTTGGCTTGAAACTCAACATTAAGAAAACTAAGATCGTGGCATCTGACCCTCTCAATTCCTGGCAAATAGATGGGGATGAAATGGACATAGTGACAGATTTTATTTTCCTGGGCTCCAAGATTACAGCACATGGGGACTGCAGCCAAAAAATTAAAAGATGCTTCCTCATGGGAGGAAAGTCATGGCCAATCTAGACAGCATACTAAAAAGTGGAGACATCACCCTGCCAAAAAAAAGTGCGTATAGTCAGGGCTATGGTTTTCCCAGTTGCAATGTTTGGCTGTGAACATTGGACCATAAGAAAGGCTGAGCGCCAAAGAATGGTGCCCTTTGAACTCTGGTGCTGGAGAAGACTCCTGCGAGTCCCTTGGACTGCAAGGCGATCAAACCGCTCAGTCCTAGAGGAATTCAACCCTGACTGCTCTTTAGAAGACCAGATCCTGAAGATGAAACTCAAATACTTTGGCCACCTAATGAGAAGGAAGGACTCACTGGAGAAGAGCCTAATACTGGGAACGATTGAGGGCAAAAGAACAGAACAACAGAGAATGAGATGATTGGATGGAGTCACTGAAGCAGTTGGTGTGGGCTTAAATGGACTCCAGAGGATGGTAGAGGACAGGAAGGCCTGGAGGAACGTTGTCCCTGAGGTCCCAATGGGTTGGACAGGACTTCACAACTAACAACAACAACACATTTCATGAACCTCATCCCCCAAGAGGCTTTCATCAAACTCCCTCTTTCTTTCCCAATCCTCTTTCTTTCTATCTGTTGCCCTAATGCTCCTCAATTAACAACATTAATTGATTCTCTGTGCTCAGTGCTTCAGTCCCTAATCATCTCACAGTTGGACTATTGTAATGTGCTCGACATGGGGCCACCCTTGGAGAGCATTCGGAAGCTAAAACTGGTGCAGAGTACAGCGGTGCAGACAATTTTAGGGGGAGCAAGAATGGCTCCTGTAACCTCACTGCTCCACAAGCTGCACTGGTTGCCAGTCTGCGTCCAAGTGCAATTCAAGGTGTTGGTGATCACCTTTAAAGCCCTTCATAGCATGGGTCCAGGTTACCTGAGGGACCATTTCACCTCACTAGGATTGGCCTATCCCAGTCATGCCGATATAGGAGGCTTGCTCTGGGTTCCATCCACCTGATTATTCCAACTGGCAGGGTTCAGGAGAAGGGCCTTCTCTGCTGTTGCTCCTGCCCTCTGGAACCTCTTGTCGCCCGACGTGAGGTAGGCCCCAACCCTCATATCCTTTCATAAAAGCCTAAAGACCTAGATCTGCCCATTGGCCTGGGTCCCCAATGGAGGAACAGCACAATGGAGGTGGTTGATTGAGTAACAACAGGTCCCACCTCCCCTCCCCCATTCTGTCCCTGCCTTCCCCATGGGTCTCCTTTGATTATAATTTATTTATGTTTTAATGTAGATGTGTAAACTGTCAGAGTGTGCACTGTGTGACTACTATTTTGAGACAACCCAGGAGCAAAATACAGTACACAGAGGTTTGTCTTTCAAACAGTGGTTTATCTACAAGGCAGTGGTGGGTTTCAATTTTTTTTAGAGCCTCTTCTGTAGGTGTGGCCTGCTTTGTAGGAGTGGCTTGCCGCCATGTGACTGGGTGGGAGTGGCTTGCCAGCCATGTGACTGGGTGGGCATGGCCAACTTGTAAAATGTGGTGAAACTCAACAATGCTCTTGCTTAGCAACCAAAATGTTGGCTCAGAAACTCTGGCATTTCAAGCACAAAAGTCTTAAAGCTGTCAAGTTACAAGACCCTTGCACCCTTTAGAAAAAAAACCCCAGGGGTGTTCAAACTTGACAGTTTTAAGACTTGTGGACTTCAACTCCCAGAATTCCTACTCTCGCTCTTCATCTTGATGATGTGCGGACGGGCGGAGGGAGGGAGCTGGACAGGTTCTAAATGGCACTGTAGATTTGTGGAACCTCTTCTATAGAAGAGGTTAGAACTGGCAGGAACCCACCCCTGCTACAAGATGTATGTATGTATAGGCAAAACCAGGCAAGCAATCAATCTTCAATTACAACACAGAAGCACACATGG